TGGCATATGGCTCTACCTACGTCACTCGGGATGCATGAAAGGTACGTAAGGTCGATCAGGATGCATTATCTATCTACACATTGTTGCAGGGTCCCGGCTGGTTTCAAGATCGCGGCCACAGTTCGGAACACCAGGAGCTGACCGTGTCCGGTCCCCCGATACCGGCCAGTCGGCTCCTGGCCTGCTGCCGCCGGTCCCCCGATACCGGCCGGTCGGCTCCTGGCCTGCTGCCGTAACCAGGAGCCGACCGTGTCCGGTCACCCGTACCGGCCAGTCGGCTCCTGGCCTGTTGCCGCCGGTCCCCCGATACCGGCCGGTCGGCTCCTGGCCTGCTGCCGTAACCAGGAGCCGACCGTGTCCGGTCACCCGTACCGGCCAGTCGGCTCCTGGCCTGCTGCCGCCGGTCCCCCGATACCGGCCGGTCGGCTCCTGGCCTGTTGCCGCCGGTCCCCCGATACCGGCCGGTCGGCTCCTGGCCTGCTGCCGTAACCAGGAGCCGACCGTGTCCGGTCCCCCGATACCGGCCAGTCGGCTCCTGGCCTGCTGCCATAACCAGGAGCCGACCGTGTCCGGTCCCCCGATACCGGCCGGTCGGCTACTGACCTGCTGCAGTACTACACCAGCAAATGTTCAAGCTCGATTTGCAACCGATCTAAAGGAAATCCCATCGATTTCTAGTTAAGTCTGGACGTCATCAAATTGGTCTCCAATTGCATATCGGTTTCAGGAAAAATGGCGATGCCCTTTTCGGAAATTAAAGTCAAATGTAAAACTAGACCAATACGTGTACATAGGTCAACTAAAATGTGATCTCGACCCATGGTTTATAAGATAATGCATTTACCTGTCTGATGCACTTTTCCTAAATCCTTATAGTTCGCGAATTGTTTTCGTTAGAGTAAGTTTTAAAACGGGGCTCTTGACGCTATCGGGTATTGTCATTTGCTCCTAAATTCTTATCGTTACTTTGTACGGCTGAAAAACTTGTAGAATCGAAAAGGGCATCGTGTTGAAATGCGCCTATCTGCGGTCGTTTTGTTTTGGAATGACCTATATACGACGAGCACGCGCTTCTATCGGTCGGTAAACATCTAGCCACAGTAACGGACCCAGCTATCGAGATTTGGATCCCAGCCATTCGGGTACATTGCACAATTTTTTTCAAATTTCTGTTTGTACGAGGAAAATTTGTGTTTTTTACTGTTATTTAGCAAGATGCTTATTGCATCAAAACTGCTTCATCTAAGGCGTGATATTGGTACGACGTGCAAATGGAGCACGAATATTCTGGTGTGACTTTGTCGCCGTGGATCATTTTTCAGTGTAATTCTATTTGATGATGATGGTAGGAACAGTGCATCCTGATCGCACAAAGACGTGTTTTATAAACAACGACTAGGATGAGTTTGTTGCATCTGTGGTGTAGGAACTGCATCTGGTATTAATGGAAGGGCCTTTCGCATCCCTATTTTAAATTCGCTGTTGCGTGCCAGCGGCGCGCGATTGAGTCGCGAAAGTGTCCATTGAATGGATATATGCCACATCATGCAAACAATTTGTATTATGCGTCAGCTATTTTTCGTCAGGACTATGACATAAAAGCGTGCTAACCTATAACATAAGTTTGACCTACATCCGCAGGATTGCACAGCCACGAATGGCATCATTTTCTACACTGCGCGATGACATGCCTCTCCCTTGCAATCCGGAGTTTTTATTTCAACCCGAATAGGTGCTTTCCTGAAGTTGGTGAAAGAACGCCGTTGAATATTATAAAACATTTTGCCTGCAGGCTTTCAGATCAAGCTGAGACTTAAGCGCAATACTACCCCAAAAGCGCAGTGGGTGTCAAAAGCGGTACCACTGCTACTTTTAATGAAAAGTGTTCGTACGTGGCTCGTCAAAGTGGGCCATTAGGCTCATTTTTATTATGTGGCCCAACTGAAGCTGTAGCCTTAATTAACGATGCTGCGCCAACAAAGTATGTAAATGCAGACGAACTTCTTAAATGCACGGATCAATGTCCGTCCCGGTGGCTCAGTTGGTTAGAGCGCCTGCCTTCCGATCCACCCACCCGTGGCGGGGTGGGTTCGAGTCGCTTTAGGGCGCTCGCTATTTGCCCTTGACAGGTATGGCCTGCGGCCGGTGGCAGCGGTCGCGTTAAAGGTCAGTTGACGTCAGAGGGCAGGACGGACCGTGCCGAGCATTGCGGCACGTTAAGCTTTCGCCACCAAATTCTGCCGTTGACATGGGATTGCGCGATTGGATGGTAGGGGTCAGGGCTCACACAACAAGCACTGCTTAGCGTGAGCTCTGATCCCGGAGATCCATCCATTCAAAAGATTCGGATCAAATCTTTAAAAAAAAATGTGCAAGAACACCTTGAGAAAGGGCCAAAACGCGAACATCTAATGATACTTGTTCGATAAAGCGTGCCGCACCGTTGTGGCATCTCTCGGCGGGTTTGTAGTACTGCAAGGGAGAGCAAGGGCGGCAATTTTGCATGACTAGTTTGCCTTAACGTCATGCAAACATTCCACGACGCAGTGAAGCAATGACGTACTGAGAAGTATATTTACCTGGAAAGAAAGTGCGTTGTCTAGGGCAGTCTTTTCCACTTACAAGCTTGCTAATCTATATATATATATATATATATATATATATATATATATATATATATATATATATATATATATATATATAAATGAGCTTATTTCATCACATCTGATGTTTCTTCGAATATCTTCAAATGTGAAATGCTGTCTTCAAGTTAAAACGGTAGGACAACATCGTCTTGGAAGAGGAAACGCCAACGGTCCAAAATTGCATGACGCCGAGACCGAAGCCACGAATTTAGATGTCACGTTCAACGCCAAAGTGAAGGTCGAAGTCAACTCTAAAACTGACACAATGCCGAAGCCGAAGCCAGCGGTTTCAGACCGTACGCAGCTGAGGCCGAAGCTGAACCAGCCATGAAAAATGTCCCAAGGCAAAGCCGACCGCGAGGTCACTGGAGAAAGGCTATGGCTTTGCGAGGCCAAAGCCGAAGCTGAAGACGGATTCATCCCCATGCCTGAGCCGAGTGTGCATTTTTGCGAGCTAGAGCACGCAACTGACTGAAAGCGACAAAACGAGAACTTGTATGATTTGTTGAAGCTAGTGATTTTCTGTGATAGATGATTAGGCTTAAGTATGACTGACTGTTTCTTATACTGTACTCGTATTTTAAATGCCGGCGTAGGCATCAAAAGGAAGCCAGTGAGGGTACAAGGTGTTCCGGTGCCATAACAGTCTTGCAGGGCCGACTACACGAGCCCGCACCACATGCTGCTCGCATGAAGCAGAGCTTGCATCATGCGACATGCTTTGGTGAACCCATTTAGCCAAGTGTGTATATCTGTGGTGTTTTCAGCAATCTGATAAAAATTAGACGACCAAAATCGGGGCAGAACCCGACTTTTTACGTACGGTAGGTGGCCACTTGATTAAAATTGATCCCCAGTTCTGCAGAGGGCTTCATTGCTCGCCCTTCCCGGATCTGCCCCGCTAGTCATAGCCAGCAATGCTCAAAGCATATAGGTGTTGCGTGATTGTCAGGATTTCCTACGCTTTCTAACATCCCAATGAAAAACTTTGTGGGCTTCCACTCCCATGAGCGAAGGGGTGCGCCTAAACATTGGAAGTGCCAGAGCTTTTACAAAACAATACCAATAGACACCCAGGGCTATCACACATCGTCAATGCCATTTCATGAGCACATATCCTTCGATATAGGTCATAGTGTATTGTACTGATGTTTGTTTCATAAGGTCGAACAACGGCAAAGTCCAGGTCGGTGTCAAAAGTGACCCCAAATCTACTTATGGGACTACATTTAACCCAGTCTCCTTCTCTAAGCAAAAAGTTATTGGTGTTCACATCGGTTCAGTGACATTGTTTTCACCTTTCGAAGGCTTAGCGTGACAGGCTCTTCCGAGATTTTTTGATAATTAAATGAAATTCAGCGTCAAGAACCACACTAGGCAGCGTGCTCAGCAAAGCAACATATTGAAGGAGGTGACGTTATATCAACAACCTACTTGGTCACTACCCTGTCTTAATGAAGTTCAAGACAATGTCATTGACGTCGCTGTGGTCAGGGAATTTGAAATTTGCGTCAAAACTTTAAAGTAAATTCTACAGTAAGGAAGCCGGTTAGTTTCGGCCTAGACTTGATCTTCACACCTGACTCAAGGATGAGCTTAGATTGTCATTATTTTGAAATAAACATTTTAAAGATGGATGACTTGATGTTTGATACTCCATTGCCGTATCAGATTGAATGGATTCAATGGGAATCTCCTCCGACAGCCTGGCCTGAATTTGACCTGCAATAGTTCAGTAACCTTGCAAGGTATATATCATTTAACGAATGATTGGCTATTTAATTTGCTACAGCTTTGCAAAGCTTGGCAGAGCCACGCCGCACCGTTCGAAAGTTATTCTTGGAGCACATTCTTGACCTCCCCCCCCACCCGAGCGCGGGTAGACTTCTCAGTCAGGGCATCGTCAGTCAAAAGGCCTGTCCGTTTTCTAGCGTGGGAAAGTCACGCCCCAGTTTGTTCATACGACGGCTGCTGGGAGAAACCAGCGGCCGAACACGGGCTTAAGCCGCTCCGACCGGCGGCATGCCTGTAACGTGTTGGGCAACCGGGCTCTGTCTGACCTGGCCACCCGATGACCCACACTATGTCTGATTACCCCGCCCCCCCCCCCACCGCTCCCCATCTACCGGGCAACCGGCCTTGCTCCAGGTGTTACATGTCCCATCTAACCACTGCCTCTGGACCCCAGACGAGCTCCCTCCCTGCCCCACTCGGGCCGGAGGATGTGCGCGGTCACAGGTCCCGTCCTCACCCGTGCAGGGCGGTGCGTGATAAGGCCGCGTCGCCCGGCCGGCCGGTCAGGCGGCGCCGCGGCCAGCTGACCTGGCGCGCTGTACTGGCACAGCGCCGCCGTCAGCCGTCGCACACTCACCTGTGCTCCCACCGCCGACAGCCTCCATGGACGCCCGCCTGGCGCCACTCGGTCTCGCTGTCCTCGCAGCGGTGAGTAGTGGGGGCCGGCCGTGAGCTGGGACACCTCTGTGACAGCGGTGAGTAGTCGGGGCCGGCCGTGAGCTGGGACATCTCTGTGGCAGCGGGGAGTAGTGGGGGCCGGCCGTGAGCTGGGATATCTCTGTGGCAGCGGTGAGTAGTGGGGGCCAGCCGTGAGCTGGGACGCCTCTGTGACAGTGGTGAGTAGTGGGGGCCGGCCGTGAGCTGGGACGCCTCTGTGACAGCGGTGAGTAATGGGGGCCAGCCGTGAGCTGGGACATCTCTGTGACAGCGGTGAGTAGTGGGGGCCAGCCGTGAACTGGGACGCCTCTGTGGCAGCGGTGAGTAGTGGGGGCCAGCCGTGAGCTGGGACGCCTCTGTGACAGTGGTGAGTAGTGGGGGCCGGCCGTGAGCTGGGACGCCTCTGTGGCAGCGGGGAGTAATGGGGGCCAGCCGTGAGCTGGGACATCTCTGTGACAGCGGTGAGTAGTGGGGGCCAGCCGTGAACTGGGACGCCTCTGTGGCAGTGGTGAGTAGTGGGGGCCGGCCGTGAGCTGGGACACCTCTGTGACAGCGGTGAGTAGTCGGGGCCGGCCGTGAGCTGGGACATCTCTGTGGCAGCGGGGAGTAGTGGGGGCCGGCCGTGAGCTGGGATATCTCTGTGGCAGCGGTGAGTAGTGGGGGCCAGCCGTGAGCTGGGACGCCTCTGTGACAGTGGTGAGTAGTGGGGGCCGGCCGTGAGCTGGGACGCCTCTGTGACAGCGGTGAGTAATGGGGGCCAGCCGTGAGCTGGGACATCTCTGTGACAGCGGTGAGTAGTGGGGGCCAGCCGTGAACTGGGACGCCTCTGTGGCAGCGGTGAGTAGTGGGGGCCAGCCGTGAGCTGGGACGCCTCTGTGACAGTGGTGAGTAGTGGGGGCCGGCCGTGAGCTGGGACGCCTCTGTGGCAGCGGGGAGTAGTGGGGGCCGGCCGTGAGCTGGGACGCCTCTGTGACAGCGGCGAGTAGTGGGGGCCAGCCGTGAGCTGGGACATCTCTGTGACAGCGGTGAGTAGTGGGGGCCAGCCGTGAACTGGGACGCCTCTGTGGCAGCGGTGAGTAGTGGGGGCCAGCCGTGAGCTGGGACATCTCTGTGACAGCGGTGAGTAGCGGGGGCCAGCCGTGAGCTGGGACATCTCTGTGACAGCGGTGAGTAGTGGGGGCCAGCCGTGAACTGGGACGCCTCTGTGGCAGCGGTGAGTAGTGGGGGCCAGCCGTGAGCTGGGACACCTCTGTGGCAGCGGGGAGTAGCGGGGGCCAACCGTGAGCTGGGACACCTCTGTGAGCCTGAGCCTGCTCTATCCGTGTGGTTTGGGCGCGACTGATGCTCGTGTGCTAGAGAATGGCCTTACCATGCACTGACGGTGTCCAGCTGTGCAGGACGTTGTTATGAGGTAGGTCTCATCATCAATTACAGAAGCTTTGAGGTTACAAATGCATCAGCGATTACAGAGGCTTTGAAGTCTTTGACACTTTTAGGTTAACCGGCATTATTTTTAGAACTGTCATCCGTATTAGTTATGTGATGGCCAACAGCTGCTCCCACTTTTTACACGTACAGCGTAAGCCACGTTCACTTTGACGCGTGTATTTATATTTGCCAGCCACCAGCCAGTTCTGTCTCGCACTTGGTACAGCAGTGTCTCACACACAAGCGAACTTGAAGCAATGATATTATGTCATAATATTGTGATATTATGAATTTTTTTCATGTGCTCAGCTGTAGAATTTCTGTCTCCACTTCGCGCGCAGATAGTTGTCTCCAGCCGAGCGGCGACGGCGGAGGGCAACAAGTCGGCCAGAGCCTCTGCGCCTGCAGGGCCGCTCGCCGGGGGGATGCAGCGCGGCCCGACGGGAGAAGGCACGCACCAGGAGGGGGCCAGGGAAGCGCGCCGCAACTGGGTGACGCCGTCCGTCGTCTCCTCCCAGAGTCCGCAGGAGGTCGGCTCCAGCACCGAACGTGAGTCTGCTGACCGCCCGCTGGGACTGAGGGCAATGACTCATAAACACACATTGGAAGACTGGAACGATGAGCAATGTCCCTTTGCGCATGGCCATTAGGTAATCAGGCGTCGTCCTCAACACTGGACCGATGACTCGCGTGGCGTTGGCACATCGTGACTGACAACTCTTAGTTGAGTACGCGTGCGGGGCTGAAGTTTTACGTGGATGTCTTTTGCAACAGCCCCATAAGAAATGACGATCCATATCAGCGGCCTTAGACAGGTTCTCTTGCTGACATATCTATTTCTTGATCGATCTCTTCATCTCCACGTAGATGCCAAGGTGACATCTGACACGCCTGACATCGTTTGCCTCCCTGTACGGAAAGCACCGAAGGTCCGAAGCTATCCGTGGTTAGCATTACTTTGACAGTACGCGAACGGTTCCAGTGCCCAGCTCCGGCAAGTTTTTGATCCACACTGGGGTCGAAGCCACCTTCGCGTCTCCAGGGTTCCCGGACGATTACCCACCAGACGTCTGGACATCGTGGATTTTCCAGGTTTGTGTGAACGGAAGAATGTCAGAGCGCATGCTGACATTCTAACGACGGTGACGATCAGCGGAAGATCGGGCAATGCTGTTCGGGATTAACTGCCTAGCGCTGCACTCGCAGCATGCTTTGTAGACGCGCTAACCACGAACCACAAAGCAATGGCCATCTTTCGCAGGGGTTTTCGTGTGGAACCTGTCGAGACTCACCGTGAAAAATGTGGCGAGATTTAATGGGAATATCCACGACGTCATGCAATTATTACTGTTTGATCCACCATCAACACAGGAGAATGTGCTATATTTCGGTCAGCTAGATTCCAGTCATGCTATCGTGCGTTCAAAAAAGAACGTGACAGGAAAATGTTGACAGCCAGGCACCATAGGTGCCGGACAGAACCGCTCCATGACCTGCGTGCCGTGCCCCGGCCTGACCCGTCGCCGTGCCCAGGCGAAGGACGCGGCGGCTACACTGCACGTTACGTGTCCGGAGTTCGCGCTGGGCGGCCAGGACAGTCTGTCGCTGCGTACGCCCGAGCACGGCCGCCAGCTGTTCTTCCGCGACAACCTGACCCCGCCGGCCGTGAGCTCGCGCGGCCGGGTCGTCGCGCAGCTGCGCACCGGGCGACGCGACCACGGCCGGTTCCGGTGCACGGTGCGGGCCGAGCTGATCCGGGAGGTATCCGAGAGCGACCTGCCGGCCGTGCAGGTCAACGACCCGCTCTGCGGCCGGACCAAGCACACGACCCGTATCGTGGGTGGCGAGGCTGCGCCCAAGAACACCTACCCGTGGCTGGTGAGAGCCGGCAGCGGCAGGCGTTGGGGCAGAGAACGCATGCCCGTGGCTGGTGAGAGCCGACAGCGGCAGGCGTCGGGGCAGCTCACGCAGGCGTGTGGGCAGCCGAGCGCCACCAAAACTTGGTTGACGTCAATTGTGGACCCTCACTTGCGTGCTGTGTCTTGTCGAGTGACAATAATAACGACCGGATGTGATCAAGCGGATGGTATTTCGTAAGGGTTTAATTTGCATGCTTTAACGTCAATACCAAGCATGTTTACGATTTATTTCCTGCCATATTGCATCCAACCAGCATTAGCTACATACGTCAATGCAAAAAGCAAATTGGGTCCCAGTTACAATATGATCCGCTTGGAATGCGATTTAGGGCCCAACTATTCTTAAATCCATGTGCCGTCACCAGCGCCTGTCAGCCATCCAGCACAACTCTGCCGTATGTTTAGCCTAACGCGTATAAAAGCTGGATGATCAGCGCACCACTATGACGCTCACGCGGCGTAAAACGCGTGTCCCGGCGGCATGGTGACGTCGCCGTGCCGCCCATCAGGTAGGCGTAACGACACGCAGCCGGGCAGACATGTTCTGCGAAGGCAGCATCATCAACGAGCGTTTCGTCCTGACGGCCGCTCACTGCGTCGCAAGGTAATGCAGGCCAGGTCATGCATCAGGTCCGATGCAGGCCACATCAGGTCCGATGCAGGCCACATCAGGCCCGATGCAGGTCACATCAGGTCCGATTCAGACTAAATCAGGTCCGATGCAGGTCACATCAGGTTCGATGCACGCCATATCAGGTCCGATGCAGGTCATATCAGGTCCGATGTAAGCCACATCAGGTCCGATGCACGCCACATCAGGTCCGATGTAAGTCATATCAGGTCCGATGCATGCCACATCACGACCGGCGCGGCTATCCGCCATACGGACCAGCCAGTTTGCGTCTCGTCGACTAGTTTTACCATTTGTTGCTTCTCGCAGTCACGGACCGCTGTTTTTTTTTTCTATGGTGGTCTAAGAGTCGCTTGACTTGTCACCCACCTGTCAACAACCCGTCCAGTCGTCACTCGTTCCAGTGTTAGTCAGTTCGATAACCTCCGAAACAAATATCTTCCAGCCAGACATCTGTACTCTCCGTGTCGGTAACGTGCAAGTGCTTACTTAGGTACTGATGCCCATATGGCTGCAGGCTGGGTTTTCACGGAACATTGGAGTAACAAGCACCCAATAGGATTATTTGTCCAGTCAGTGAACTAGCAAGTGTTCGAAGAGTTGTCTCGCCCATCCAATGCAGCAACACGCAATCGATAGGTTTTGTCGCTCAATCTCTGAAATGCCCTCTAGCCATGGGTCAATGAGTTTTGGTCAATACGTTTTGATCAGTAGCCTTTGTCGACGCATTTTGTCGCCCAGTCGTCCTCATTCTCCGACGCTTCACTAATGCTGGTCACGCACCATGCGTTGCAGGCGAAAGCTTTGGGTCCTGAATGTCCAGGTGAGGAAGCACTTGCGTAACAGGGACAGCGAAGAGCTCAGATTCAAGGTGAAAAGGGTCATCAAATATCCAGGCTACAAACGACTGCAGGACGATATAGCTTTACTGGAGTGAGTATGTGCCAATGAACATACCAGCACTACGAGCGTCAGAATTGGATAGTTGTTACATTCGTGTTTCACGGTTCTTCGAATAGGCCCGAGGAGTTCTTGGTCGCGTAAAAACTCGCTGAGTGGTTCTCGTCTGCGTCCATGCCCTGTGAGCGCTTCCCATCCACTTCGATGCTGTGTGAACGGTTCACATCCGCACGCACACTCCCTGAATTGTCTCCGTTGTTGGTCCACGCCGCCGCCGGCTGACCGTTGGTGCGTCGCCTGCCAGGCTGGATGGCTCCCTCCGTCTTCTCCTGCACAACGACGACGTCCGCGTGCGGCCCATCTGTTTGCCGACAACCGCGTGCGGCGGCGGCAGCGGCGATGCCTGCTTTGGCGGCCGCACCGCCGTCGTCGCTGGCTGGGGCGTGAACCAGCAGCGGCCCAAAGCCTACCCGAAGTCGCTTCAGCGTGTGGAGCTGCCGGTGCTAACTAGCGAGGCGTGCGAGGCTAGTCAGCCGACCGTCATCACCGACAGCATGCTCTGCACCAGCTACTCCGGCGGCGGCCGCGACGCCTGCCAGGTGAGGCGCCCGTCCGCTGCTTCCTGTCCCTGGGCGTCAGCGGCCCCACGTCCAGGGAGGCGCCCGCTCACTGCTTCCCCGCCGCCGAGCGTCAGCGGCCCCACGCCCTCGCGCCGGCCGACCAGTAGCCGGGCCTGGTCTACAGCCGTGCCACCCAGCCCGCGCTCCGGCAGGCTCCCACCAGCCGTGCGGGGGTCGCGGGCACATTCAGTCCTGCAGGCGCGCCAGTCAAGCGCCGAGGGGGCGAGCTGGTCGTCACGCTCGTTACTCCATCCGCAGGGTGACAGTGGAGGTCCGCTAATGGTAGACACCGGCAAAAGCAAGACCACCCTGATTGGCATCGTCAGCTTCGGCAAGGGCTGCGGCGTGCCGGAACACCCGGCCGTCTACACCCGCGTCTCAGGTACGTGCCAGAGGAGCACTCGCCACCTGAATGCGAGCCGTTTGCCAATGTTGAACACATCACTAGCATAGCAGTGAGGAGCGATTTTGTCAGGAGAAGGATGCAAGGGGCTTGTTGCGCTTAGCTGGGCGCCCAGCGGGCCAAACTAATCGCTATCTATGGGATAGGAATGCGCACACATGAAGCATAAGACATGTTGCAGACTCCAGAATGCCGGTTATGGTTGTTTATGTCGGAGTGGCAAGGTATAGTATTGCACACTTCACTGCCCTGTATGCCCTTTTGGATTTATTTGGATGCAAAGTTACGATTGCGCAAGGCGCCAAACCGGCGACCGTTTACTGTATTTGTGATTCAAATACAAGAGCAATTTCAGGGAAACGAAAACCTCTCTTCACAACCCCAGAAAACTCGTGGATGTGACAGATGTGATGCAATTTCGTAATTTATGCCTGATCACGCGCACCAAAATACCTCTGACAGTACGTCGCGTCGAAGCGGGAGGCGGGCTAGGTTGGTGTTGGTGTTGGGGGGGGGGGGGGGGTACGAAATTCTCCTCTACAACCTCAGAAGATGTGAAAGCTAGGGACCCCTGTCACTTTGAAGGTGGGAGGAGGCTGCACGGAAGCGGCTTGGTTATGAATTTTGTAACTCTTTCCGGTTCAGAAAAGGCTGAAGTTGATGCCTTTAAAAAATAATGTATTCGCTTAGGTCACTGATTTAATCAAAGTACGCTGTGGTTTAATCAGCGGTTGATTTAAACGGTGTTTCAAAGGTAAAACGCTTTCGTAGATGGCCCCATTTAAGTCTATTATAAAGCATTTTGATTATTTTTTCACAAGCATCAGATTGAGCCTTAACTTCGGACTGAATCGAATGACGACGTGTGTATTGGACCTCATGGCACGATACATGATCGTGTGTGTTGGACCTCAGGGCACGATGCATGATCGTGTGTGTTGGACCTCAGGGCACGATACATGATCGTGTGTGTTGGACCTCAGGGCACGATACATGATCGTGTGTGTTGGACCTCAGGGCACGATACATGATCGTGTGTGTTGGACCTCAGGGCACGATACATGATCGTGTGTGTTGGACCTCAGGGCACGATGCATGATCGTGTGTATTGGACCTCAGGGCACGATGCATGATCGTGTGTGTTGGACTTCATGGCACGAAACATGATCGTGTGTGTTGGACCTCAGGGCACGATACATGATCGTGTGTGTTGGACCTCAGGGCACGATACATGATCGTGTGTGTTGGACCTCAGGGCACGATACATGATCGTGTGTGTTGGACCTCAGGGCACGATGCATGATCGTGTGTATTGGACCTCAGGGCACGATACATGATCGTGTGTGTTGGACCTCAGGGCACGATGCATGATCGTTTCTGTGTACTTTACCGACGTTTCCATGTACCGTAGTTTGTTAGGTCGAGTTAGCTTTAACCGTCTTTTGGTCTGCGTTCTTGAAAATGATGCATTAGGCCGCATTTGATGCATTTGATGAATGATAAAAAACGCAAGACAGCTTGTTATGAAAACCGGATTCAAGAAACGGATCGGACGGATTCCACCCTCACCCTTCTCCAGGACGTGTGCCAATCTCTCTCGATAACGACCTCTGACTACAACGTCGTGCACTATTGGCGCAGTGGGAACATGCTCAGCGTGAGCGGCCAGGCGTGACGCTACCCGTCCGTCACACTCGCAGGAGGTCGCCATCATTACAGCTCCTGACGCAGTTCCATGCAGCCCTCAGCAACAATGAACGCGATTCATGAAAAGCCGTGCGGTGTTAGTTCTCGGCACGTGCATGTCAGCTGCTTAATGGGCCCTGACTTTCCTGCAGCATTGCAGTCTGAATGAAATGTAGCCCTCTCACTCGATTGACTTGGGAAAGGAAAACCTGTTCGTGTGGCAGCGTCTACCCATCGGTATACACTGCCTAGTTCTCCTAACAAAATGTAAAGAACCCAGCAGGCAGCGTCAAGCTGGATTTAGCTTACCAAGCATTACCAAAATCAGTCCCGTTTTTATTTGCATTTTGAAGCACGATTCTTTGCATTTGGTTCTCGCCTTAGATGAAAATTCAATTGTTCGAATTATTTTGGTGATCAAGTTCATTCATTCTTTCACGTGCAAATAATGTACGGGATTTGAGATACATGTGACTTAGTAGAGGGGTGCAATACAACGAATAAATGACGTAGAATCGAAGGCCAGTCTAATGGGGTTTGCCCGTTAGTGGTAAAATGCTAAACTTCACTGATTCAACAACTGAGAAAAAGACAAAAGTGTTGAGAACAAGATGAGATCGATCAGACAAGGCTCACAAGACATTATGTGGACTCAGTGTTACCAAACTGGATTTTTGACAGGTTTGGTGCCTGTAAAATGCAAAAGTTGTGGCATTATGTTGGAAGCTTAGCAGATGTGATGTCAGTCACTGCCAACTGTATCGGTTCACGCTCAGTGTTTGTTTCCCACTTCAGAATACTACGACTGGATCATAGAGAACGCCCGCCTCTAAAGTCAGTCGAACGAAGAGAAGTGCTATCCCGGCCGCCTTCAAGTCACCAGAATCGTGAACCACGGCCAGAAGCATCCAGCGGACCAGGCCGTGATCCCTGCGGGCCTGGGCTGCGCTGGTACTGGGCCGATGTCGCGAACCCTGCACTGGCGTCCGCGCACGGAAGCGAACATGACTGCAGTCAGCGCCAGATGGCGCTGAGACCGAGCGCGGGGAGTCAGCAAGTGTCGCACCGCGATATGTGGACCTCCTTGGCTGATTGCTTTGCCGTTGTGGAGCACGGATCGAGACGTTGTGTTGAAGCGTTGGAGCGTCGCGGGCTGTCGGCCGACTTCACCGGACTCCCCGAGAGAGGTGGCTGCGCCGCCAGGCCTGCTCCGGTGGCACGTCGCAACAGCGCCGGGCACCGTCTTGGTAGGAGCCGTGGCTGCGTGACAGGCCTCAGTGGCGTGATAGGGTGCAGTTCGCTGGAAACATGCCAAAAAGGTACATAAAAAGGATCTTCCATGCTCATCACAAACCTCGAAGCCTAGGCATGGCCAAAAAAGCTCTGTGGCGCCGTGGTGCCACCTGTGTTTTGCGAGCACGGCAGAACTGTCGACGCCACAATTGACGGCCGTGTGATCATGCTGAAAAATTCATGATGCATTCTTTTGAGTACAGGTTTGTGCTTCTGCTAATCGCTGATAAACGTATTGAACGGAACAATCCTGACAGAATTGTGAATGGTGTTGTCGTTTTGCTGGTGTTTTCATGATTCGTCTCGTAGTTGTGCGGCCTGGAACAGGCATCGAGAACTGCCGCTGCATTTATTTCACGCGCTGCTTTTGCAGTCGCTGTGATAGCGAGCAGGCTGCCACTGCGCGCCTCCAAACGGGTCAAGCAATCCAGCTTCGTCCAAAGCTATCGGTGGACAGGGGTGCAGACAGCAGACTTCAGAAAATTGTCAATTAATATCTGCAGAAATGAACAGATTGTAGCAAATTCGTCCCAACCTGCAAGTCTTTGACCTCGGCACTAGCTTGGATTTTAGAGGTTACTATGAGCATGCAAATTAATGGGATTACTATGAACATGGGAGGAAGCATGAATACTCCCATTTGGGAGATCTCTGCCCAAGTTCTGGTTGCGCCATGACCGCTGGCCTAGACGTTGATAAGACGTCACCACCAAAGTCGCTATCCTTCCATGAAATTATGGGTTATGACATACCTAGCGTTCCCTTAAGAATGATGTAATTCATCATAGCCAGCGCGTAAAGCAAACCAGCAAGCATTTGTTTGGTAGAAAGCACAGAGGTCTGCTACTGTTAACAGCAAATCGATTTACATCTCGTGAAAGGCGTAACAGTCCCCAAAGCCTTTAGCAGGAGCACGTCGTCCTCTCTTCTTACCATGCCACCTCTAAAGACCAAAGCTTTTCTTTCCAGAGTCCCGATGTACGTCTATCCTTGCCCCTCCCATTCACGGTCATGCCTGCCCCGAGACTCGAACAATGTGAACACGACACGAACAAAACGAGTGTGCAGGATCGTCAACTAGCCACGAACCATGCGCTGTACAGCATTGCAACATTCTGCACTTGCCCGGCTTTTGTATGACCGCTTGGGTTTCGAACTGCGAGTGGAAAAATTAATGATGGTTGCTTATACTATACCTGGCAAGTGTATCGAGTAGCGTTTCAACCCATGGATATCTTCAGAAGAGTTGTGATAGTTGGTGGACATTGTTGTCGACTAAATTTGGCAGCCGTCGTTCAGCGCCACACATGTAGAAACGGGTGTGGGCTTAACATGCGAAGCACTATCAGTGTGCGCTTAACATGTGATGTACGACCAGTGTGGGGTTAACATGCTATTTACTATCAGTGTTGGGTTAACATGTGAGGTGCTATCAGAAGGTGTTAACATGTGAGGTGCTAGTGTGTGAGGTGCTAACATGTCATGTACTATCAGTGTGGGGTTAACGTGTGATGTGCTATTAGTGTGGGCTTAACATGTGATGTACTATCAGTGTGGCTTAACATGTGATGTACTATCAGTGTGGCTTAACATGTGATGTACTATCAGTGTGGCTTAACATGTGATGTTAAGCCACACTGATATCAGTGCCAGGTTTGAGCCGTCCGTGATAGTTGTTGTTTTGTTTCAAAGCGTTGCTAAATGAAGGCGCTGCCGTCCTGATGAGCATGGCCCCCGCCAGCCTGCGGGAGTGTGGCGGGATGCACGGGTTGACAAAGTCCGGACATTTTAGCTTTGCTGTCATGAATATTATGGCACAAATGACATGAATAGTCTTCTTACAAAACCGCTTACTTTGTTATCCACGGCGTGCATGGGGAATACCATTCGAATAGCATGGCTGGTAAATGGCTTCACTGACACACGGTACGTCACAGAATCAAAATGGCTTGCTTTGTTTTTGACGGTCGACTAGTTGACAGCGGGAAGCGTTGGACTTTGAACCTGAGCGCAACCGCCCCGTCTATCTAACGCTGACGATTACCCAAATACGGCTCCAAAACGAAAACAGATCAACACGAAGATTAAACAAATATAAGATGCGATTCCTCGTCACATTGACCTGAATAGGAAATCTATAAGATGATGAATAAATGCAAATATATGCAGAGGACCTGTAGTACATTTACGTGCATGGCCATCAACCAGACTAAAGTTCCGGTGCACATATGATGTCACAGACCAGTCTACTACTTGCTCAAAACGCACCTACAAATCCGGGAAGATATTCCTTGTTGCGGGCATAATCCGAGAGTCACGTTTTGCCGTCGACATGGGGCGGACGTGTGCGTGTCAGCATCAGCTCCGAGTCAGACCGTATCGGCGGGCGCCTCTGCACGCTGTGTGCCGACATGGGGCGGACGTGTGCGTGTCAGCATCAGCCCCGAGTCAGACCGTATCGGCGGGCGCCTCTGCACGCTGTGTGCCGACACGCTGGCCGCCGCCGCCGGAGCCTAGTCGCTGAAGCCGGCTGGCTCGCAAGCAAACGCCATCTTGCGGTGGCAGGCAACGTCGTGCCAGACGACGCCATCTTCGAAGGCGTTGTTGATGACAGCCAGACAGTGTTCGTCGCCGCCGGCGTTGTCGGGCTGGCCGATGCCCAGGGCGCCGCTGCGTGACCAGCCCTTGAAGCCGTAGCTGACCGGCTCGCCGTGGCCCCAGAAGAAGTCGTGCGAGCTGCGCGCTCCCGACGTCCACACACCGTCCACGTCTGGAATGGCCGGGCCCAGCTCAGAGCGCAGGTCAGGACCGACCGGCCGCCGGCAGGCGGCAGGCCACCAGCACACCGGAAACACACCGGCAGGCTGCCGAGGTCGGCGCTGACCCCCGCACATCAAGGCCTTGGTCTAGCCCGCCAGCGCGGTTCACACAGTCGTGCCATTACCCCAGATGGGTGCAAGTCCCCGTCCTACCGGCGTCTTCTGTGTAAAACGCACACATAGATGTGACATTACTAACGCTCTGCATAACTAAGGCACTCTTTTTAAATCGCAAGCTAGGCATCTAGCATACTATAGCCATCTAGCATAGCATCTGCGCCTGAGGAGAAAATAGCACGGTGCCTACGTACCGAGCGTGCGTTGTTGCAACACACTGTAATGACACGGGATGCAAGCCGCAAGTTTCGAGCACATAACATATGTTTAGTGTTGAGGAATGTACGTCGAACAGTCCCAGTTGCAATCCAGCACACGACGGTCGTGGCTTGCCGGCCCGCCGGCAATCCTACACTCCGATCTTACTGAAGATAGACATGGCGTAGGCGATCTGGAGGTGGCTGAGGAGGGTGCTGGGAGAGGCTAGACGCATCCGATGGAAGCTGCAGATGGTCTCACTTTCCTGCCAGGTGAACTTGCGTCCGAGCAGCTGCGGGTCCAGAAAGGAGAAGTACGGCCCGTACCGCTCTGTCGAGGCAGACAGCCCCGGTGAGTGCCGTCATTGGCTCGAGGGGAAGGCGCAAACTGAGCAGTCCTGTCTCCCTGGGGTATGTCCGTGTAGAGCCCCTGCTGCCTCCGGTCGCAGCGGACGCCGGAGCCCGCGGCGGCGGTGACTGGGACGGTGGTCGCGTGCCTCTCACTGTGCCCATGTTCCTCGGGCACTGACTCCTGCTCATGCATCTACATGTGCTCCTCGTCAAACATGCCACCAACCGGCAACGGCAGGCTACGTCAGTGCTGACGGAAAAACGGGATTCATAAGAAACGGGAATCGTAAGCTACTATTCACATTTTCCTCAAGAGGAAGTAAAAACCCATAAAACTCTTTCCAAAACATGTCTGTGGGAGGGTCTTTAACGGCAATCTTGATCAGGTTTAACGGGCTGTTGATCACTTCGGTTGACAAGTGATAAAATACTGTTCATAAGCAGGACTTGTGCATTTAACTTTTCTGTTCAAATGCGTGTATGGCTTGCCCATGCGATGGGAAAAGTGATGTGTTCCTTACGCGGACCGAGTCGAGGTCAGTCCGAAGACTCTGATCGGCAAAAACGCATTCAAACACTATTTCATTGGTGGCATGGGGTGTCGCAGGATGATGTAGATGGATATCAAAGCAGCTTGTCATTGTTTATTAAACACATTATTAGCGCTGATGATAATCGGTGTCGACGGTTGACTGGTCACCAGTGCCATAAGTCACGTTATGTTCACTGACACAGCGCTCAGCAGCTGCAGCGGAGTTCTGATATCTGACGGCCTGACGTGCCGCTGTGCGAAAAGTGACCCTGGGTCTGCGCAATGTTCTTATTATTCACCAGCTCGCAAATATACTGTTGCATGCAGACAAGCGAAATGAACGCCAAACGTCTTCAAGGATGACATAGAACTATCAGCGTTATACAGTGCCAGGTGAGATAGAGTGCCGGCCTGCAGGTGCCCTCGCCGGACGTTATACAGTGCCGGTGAGATAGAGTGCCGGCCTGCAGGTGCCCTTGCCCATGCAGTTTATTCCTGATTCTTTCAGTTCACTGACCTCAATACATGACAGTGACACCCTTTCGTCGCCTCTAGTTTCTGTTTCAGTTAACGACGGTAGCACT